GAAACATTATAAATGATGCTTTATTACCAAGTTGGCTCTTAATATGACTCAGTTTGGAAAAAGAATCCAAGTGCCATAAATTAAACTGCTTTTATGGCAAAATACATTATGGGTTGATGATCTACTTTGCAATGATTCTTTAGTTCGCTAAGGAGTGCTTCTTTGGATTGACCAGCTTTTCTCAACTCAGGCACTACTGACATTTTGCACTGGAAGATCCTCTGCAGGGGTCTTTCCTGTGCATTGTAGGAAGATTAATAGCATCCCTGGAAACACTGTGTTAAGCAAATGTAGAGCTCATCCTGTGCATAATATAGGTACTTTATAACTTCCACATACACTGCTTTTTCAGAGACAGAATATGGGGTATAATGGCCCCTGTGTACACAACAGCGAGGTGCTGGGAAAGAGGAACTCTGGTGGTAGGCGGAGAGATTCCTGAACTTGCTTTCATGGCAAGTCTTATTTTGCAATTTTAAATAACATGTAAGGGATATAAATTTTGTGCATGTGTTCTATCAAATTTTATTTAGAAGGTTGAGAAATTGAGGTAGCGAATAAGATATTATCCAGAAAATGATTTCCTTTCTTTACAAAACACACTGTGTTATGAAACAGATTTAAGCATTTACACCTATGACTGTGATGATACAGGACAATATGGCCAATATTAGCACTTGTCATTTACTGAGAGTTTGGTAAGTTCCAGGTACTATACTAAGCATTTAATACAATAGTTTAAAAAAAAAAACCACAATATTTTATTGAAGACTGAGAACCTCACATGGTAGTAAAAAGAATTATCTCTATTTTACAGACAGGAAAACTGTGGCTCAGGAAAGTTAAGGAACTTGTTCAAAGAAAAACTATCATGTGCTGCTTTGGAATTTCCAATAATACATTCATTACTTATATTTTGATTAATGCTTTTGATAAATTGATTATTTAAATATCAAATATTTAACGTACCAAAGGGGAATTCAGTAAGGTATTTTAATAAATTAACATACTGACCTTAGAGGCCAAGGACAATTTACATTTAATACTGTGGGAACTGACCTCCTTCTGTATATATTAACTAGGGAGGTGATAGGCTACAGTCTTAAAACTTGGCTGGCACAGCTTGTTGATGTCCTTTGCAGAAGTAGTTAAAAGGCAACTCATAGTCTATTCAAAAAATCTGAAAAGCAGAGAGATAAAAACAATACAATGATACAAACTAAATGCAAAATTTGTAATGATGAATTCCACAAAGCTAGAATAGCAGTTGTGACAATTATGGACTTTGTGTAGTTCAGTTCAGTTTACTCTGTGCATGTTTATTTTCAAAGACAATTATTAATTAGCTTTGGTGACAGAATGCTACAAGAGTACAGAAAACAAAATCCACAGAAAGGTCTAAAACCTACTTTAAAAACGATTTTAAACGTAACTGCTAACAAGCCAGACAAGTTTACAAAGGCCTATTACATCAACTGACTTTCTTGAAATGCTTGTTATTTATTATCTAAAGGTGCTAGTGTGCATTTAAATGGTTTGAAATTAGGGTAAAGAAGTCACGGCAAAAATGCACTGGATAATTTGTACCTGAAATAACTGGGACTTTTTCATAGTATGTTGACAAGTATATATTTATTTCTGTTCACCTCTAGCAAAAGGAAAATTGAAATCAGCACACTGTGTGACCATTTGTGGTTATTCATGTTATTTGAATTCTGAGTTATTTTTGCAACGTAGTTGGTGCACTACCCCAGACGTGTCCTTTAGTGAATGACCAAAAAAAGAAAAAAAAAGCCTTCCTCCAGAAATAGATTACACATTGGCCTCTGGTAATCCTGTGGAATTGAAGTAACAAACATGAGGGAAGAAAGGCAAAACAGCTGCCGCCCCTGCCAATGAAAGGAAATAGCCCCCTTCTCTCTAGGACTGGCACGGCTGGCGTGAATAATAGCTATCTTACTTTTTCAGCCTAAATAAGAAACGAAATTGTTCCTTTCCCAGCTAATCACAAAGTGAATGGTAGTGTGTTCCTGGAGCAACTCACCAGATGACTTTGAATACACATCTGTACATACGTGTTACAGCATGCACCCTAACACTGTCGAACTGTGATGGTGGTGATCACAGCACCTTTTCTATCCTGAGGGGCCTCTCATTCACTCAGCCTGGGTTAGATGATCTCCAACATTTTTTGCCTACTGAGACCTGAAGGATAAGCAGATGCTGGCTGGGCACAGAGGGAGAATAAATGCCAGCTTGGCTGCATTCTGGTTTTGTAATTTCCTCTCCATTCACCCGCTGTCTCATCTGCAAACATGAGGATTAATAATACCTAACTGTCATGCTTATTGTAAAGATTAGAAATAATGCATGTAACTTGGTACAGGGGCTTTAATCAATGGTAGTGGTTTTTAATGAAAATTACATTTGTTGTGTTAGTTTGGTTTTAACAGTACTCTACTGTATCTAGGCAACGTTCCAGGGTATTAGTATCATTTTTCATTCTATATTCAATCACCTATTTGTTGAGTTATAAATGAAACACTGCTTTATTTAAACTTCTGGCCTATTGGCCTGAAAACTAAAATCTATGTCCATGTTATAATATAGGCATTTTCTCCCTTAGAAACATGGGGTCGAAGATCATGGGTCCTCTAATAGGCCATTCTAGGACTACAATTCTGATATTTTATGATGAAGAGTGTCGTGTCTACTATTTCCTATGTTTTGCCTGGTTGTTAGGTGTTTTTATACTGCCTGGTGTTTCTTATGTACTGAAATTACTATTATTATGCATTGTAATTGCAAAAGCTGAGTTAGAACATCAAGTACTAGTATTATGAGGTCTTTTTAAAAATCTACAGTGAATCTTCTTTATGAGATTTAAAAACAGCTGAATTATCTGCAAGGCTGCTGGCTACAAACATGATGACAATGCTGAGTTCTGATGGAGCAGTTAGTTTCTCTGTGCCAAAGGCTTCCCACTGGCTACTACGGTTCAGGGGTCACTGACTGGCTGCTACCACAGACAACTTAAGCACCCACAAAACAAAAGAATACTGAGCCAAATGTAACATCCACCTAGTTCAAGTTCCCAGTACACAGATGATGGAGGGAAGGTACAGGCGCCACTTGCCAAGACTGAGTCAATAGTATAAGGACCTGTACAATTACAACATCACATGATCTCTTTGAAGCAATAAGGTACTACCTCAGGACAGCACTTAAGGTGTTGCCACCAAAATTCAGGCCCCAAACCATGCTGTTCCCATAGGTTTCTCTCTCTCTAGGACTTAGGTGTTGTGTGCCTCAGCCTCAACTCTTTAATACCAGGATAACCTCTGTTCCTAGGTCCTCGCTCCCTTCAATTCAGTCACCTGGATATTCCTTCAGGTGGCCCAGCCCGGCAGAAAGACTTGATGAATTACAGGGACCTGAGTGTTGTTTATGTTACCATGGTTACTGTCCCTCTTCACAAGTGTAATGTCACTTCCTTTTGCCTTATAGTTGGGAAGGAAGGAACTGTAGGAATGGAAACTGAATGTGGGTTAGGGGTGGTGGCATCTCATCTTTCCACTGCCAGTAGTGAAGGTTCCAGTCATAGCCTCTTAATAACAGCCGGACCTTGGGAAAGTCTGAATAAAAGGTGGATCTGTAGTACATTGTTCTACAGTCCCTTCTAATCTAAAAATTCTGTGGTCCCCTAAATGTTCTTGGTAGGGAAAGCATTCCATTCTTCCAGGTTAAACTGACAAACATACATATGATACCTAGTATATAGTATTTTCATTAAAGTGGAGAAGCTTTTTGTATGCTGTGCATCCTTGAATGGCGGACCAAAAGCAATGGAGGTCAGAGTACAACAGAGAAACCCAATCCCTGCGAGTCAGACTTTGAGCCGCCTTAACCATCAGATGCACAGCTGTTAACAAGAAGTACGTAATTGCAAGAAAACTCTCTTCACTCAGCTCCTAAGAAGACATAAGGCATTAGCCCCTCTTCCTTTTTCAGAGCAATTCAGATAAAACGAGGGAAAGAGATTGAAAATGTGGGCTTTCTTGGAGCAGAATCTCTGCTGGGGATTGTTCACTGGTTAAAGGGCTTTGGGATGGGATGGAAAATGTGAATGAAAGGGTGGCAGAAACTAATAAGCTGCTACTTGACAACAATGGTCTTGTTACTCCCTGGCCCCTGACCCCCTACTTGATCTCACAGTAAGTGCTTGGGAAAGTACATTAACTGCTTCCGGTCGATGGGACAAGCTTGGGTTTTCAGACAATTCTCACACCGAAAACAAAAAGGTACTGATTCCCAATGACCCAACCAGTCTATTCTCTGGCTGGAAATTTCCTTTGGGTAAGCTCAGTGCTCAGGTATGTGATTCACACTTTTTGGTCAGAAACTCATTCATTAAAAACCAAGCACTCTCCTATAAGCACGTTATCTCTTGCGACTGCGTGTGCCCTCCCTCTGGGCCTCGGCTGCAACAGTCTGGGAACTTCAGCCGGGTCTCCAGGAGCACAAAACGATCTCTGGTTAGTGGCTGAGAACTTGCACAGAGACTTCTTTTTAAGAAGTGTGGTCTTTAAGTCCACAGTCCATGGATTAAACTGACATCTAAAGTTACACAACTGCTGCATTGCTTATTTCAGCCAGTTGATGAACCAAAATAAAACTCCCTCATATAAATGGAACATATACTTAAGGGAAAATCCATTTTACATTCATCTCTATAACATTTTGTATGCACAAATTACAAAATGCCAAGAGGCCTTTTAAAAGACTGATGTTTGCCCTTTGTTATCTGACTCAAAGAGTGGGAAAAAAAAATGAATTAATCACTGCTTTGAATCCTTACGGTTATATATTTCACTCTCTTGTCTCAGAAAGAAGGCAAAATGAGACCTTTAGATGATCTGAATAAGAACAACTCACACTGCAGGTGCTGGCTCCATAGTCCATTTATATTTTATGACATTTGACCCAACTTGAAAGCCTACCTCCTCCTCTTTCCTTCTCATCCTCTTCTTCTTTCAGCAGCTTGCCAATGGAATTATACCACTTGAACTGTGGATCAGGGATGCCATTAACACTACAATTAATCAAGGCACTATTCCCTTCCTTGACTATGATATGGTCAGTTCTGGCAATGATTACAGGCATAAAGCCCAAGACCACGTCAGTGCCATTTAAAGTGCTGTTAGTCACACTCTTTGCAGTCGCTAGAGTGGATACTAGGATTAAACAGGGCACAGAAGGTAGAAAGCACACAGGCAGATGGCTCTTCAATCGATCCATCTTCTTTGCTTGCTCTGTAAGGCAACAGAGATGATTTGCCAATGGAATCTTCTATCAGACAGCACGCTGTTCAGAGCAGGCCATGGGACAAACCTGTGCTGGCTCCATAGAGCTGGTTCTTGATTAAGAACCTGTTAAAACAAACAGACCATACATACATAAATATTAGCATTCATACTGTTAAAATATTATTTATAAAATGTTAGAAACCCAGCTAAAACACAAACCTGCATAATTTTTAGACAACACTCAAATTCAGATGTTTCAAATGTTAAGCTACCTTTTTCACAAGCATCATAACAAATAATTCCATTATTTTTGCTATTGAAATAGACCGCTGTTAGTAGGAACAAATACATGTTTCTTATGTTAAACTTGTCACATTACTTCAGAAAGTTCAAAAACTGATTTGAGCAGCTTTTGTTTGGCATAACAAGGTCTCTTTCCTCCCCTCCCCTGTCTTCATCGCCGATGCCCTGACTGTTCACGGGGGTGCTCCTTGGCGGATTTTCTTCCACGGAATACAGCTTCCGGCCTACTTCAGGGCTCCCTGCTCTGCCAGCATGAGCTCCACCAGGTCGGCCTGGCATCCTCCTAACTCCCCCCTGCGGCTTCCAGGACACTCCTTCCGCTTCGTGCACTGTCCATGCTCTTTCGAGCTTGATGCCATCCAAGTCTGTTTCACGTAATTGTTATCTATTGGCTCCTGATCACCCACTGAACTCCCTAGAGTCTTCGTCTGCCTCCCAGACGCTGGGGTGAGCAGCAGTATGCATGCAGTGGCGTTACAGGTGGCTGTACTTCCATGTCCAAAGATCTGACCTTCGCCTACATCTCTGTCCTCCGTTTCACCCACTAATCATATGGCCACCCTCTAGACCTCTTATCTGTCCAAATTCTAAATTCTGAAGTTCTAAATAACTGTCTTGAACTGTACCCTACCAATCCTCCAGGTCTCTCAGCTCCTCTCACTGGATGTCCTAGCCCTTCTGTTTTCCTCAGCATCTATCTCCCTCCCCCCCTTCCACCTTCATGCGCCAACTCAGTCCCAGTCTAGACCCAATGCCCAATATCCTCACCCCTTGTTCTCTGCCACCATGACCCTGCCAGTACATAATTATGATCAAACTGATTGTCTGTCTTGGCTCCTACACCCAGGAGGCGGGAGCACTACTGCAGAGAAGTATACAACCATGTTACTGCCAAATTAAAGAAAATTATCTCCAACCCCAGCCAGGTCTTTGGTGACCATTGGCAGTCTGGTTACCAGGGCTCGGTTGCTGCAGTGTCTGCTTTTCGTGACGCAGTGTATGTCATCAGCTTTCAAATCACACACCTTAGCCCAGTGCTGTTCCTCCCATTCTCAAAAGACTTGTAGGCACGAAGTCCCACCCCCTTTTAAAAAGAACCCTGCACTTTATCTGAAATGCCTCCCCTGCCAATTACTTCAGACTACTCAGTTCTGTACTTTGCCTGCTCTTTATTGAAATGGCTCTTGCTCAAGTCACCAGTCACTCCTGGCTGCCAAGTTTTCAGCCTTTCTCTTGTGAAATCTCTGTGGGGACTGCCACTATTAACTGTTCTTTCTCACTCTGTCTGTGACTTCCACACTCTGCTCCCCTAACTGCTCTCATTATCCTTTACTAGGTCCTCTTCCTCCCAGTTCTTGACAGTTGGGTAACCCCCAGAATTTCATCACTGGCCCTCTTTTTTCCTGCCCTCAGCTCTTCCTGACATTCCATTCCCATGCTTTTATTACCACCTCCAACCTTGTAACTCTCAAATCCATGTTCTCACGCCTGACTCTTCTCTAGGTTTCAGACTGGTATTACGAACTGTCCATTTGACATCTCTGCCAGAATGTTCTGAAGGTAACTCGACATTCCCAAACCACACTCATTTTACCTGCTAAACATGCTACATTTCTGGGGTCCTTACTTTTCAGTTCAGAGCAGCACCGAATACACAGGTTGTGCATGGGTACTGGTCCTCAACCTGACTCTTGCCCTCATGCCCTCAGAACTTCAGTAATTACATGTTGTTGGTTCCACCTTTTGAATGTTGCTAAATTGTTCCATCCTTTCTGTCTCTTCTGAGAAAGCCTTATTTCAGGTCTCCCTGACTTCTTACCAGAAATTGTATGGTAGCCTTCTACAGGATCTGCCTTCAGTCTTTCCCCAGGTCCCAATCCAATCCCTATAACCATGCTACGGCACAAATTATTATGGTGCCATTTGTTTACTTAGCAACCTTTAATATTTCTGCACTGTCTACATTGTAGAATCTGAATTCCTTACCCTTTTTATTCATTAAAATGTAATTTTTGAACACCTACTATTAGGCAGACACTATTTTAATTCTAGAGATAGAAGAGTAGAAAAGACAGATCTTTCCTGTTATGTAGAGATTGTATTCTCAAGGGGAAAGGCAGACACTAAATAAATATACCATGTAAATAGGAATTTCAACTAATGATGCACATTTTGAAAAAACATACCCTAATGCACTAGAGAGCTTTGGTAGTTCGGAAGAACTTCACTGAGGAGCAGGCCCTGCACTGGGGTGCTTTAGGAATTGGCCACACCTAAACCAGGGAGAACATCATTCCAGGAAGAAGGAACCTCAAAAGCAAATGGAGGCAAGAGGGGCCAGAGAAGTATACAGGCCCAGAGCACTTAGGACTTTGCAGGACAGTGTAAAGAGCTGAGATCTTATCTACCATTCACTGGAATCTTCCAATATATATGATTCCAAAGAATATGACTTCTTTTTGAAAATCAACTTTACTGGTATAGTAATTTACAAACAATAAATGGATACCCATTTGGGGTATATATTTTAAAGGGTTTTGACAAATTTATACACCCCCGTAGCTACCATAATAAACAAGATATAGGATGTTGCCATCACCATCAAAAGTTCCTTTGTGTCCCTTCCCAGTTGAGTTTTTACACTGATCCATTCCAGTTATTTTTGTGTATGGCATGAGGTACCCTTCATGAGGTACGGATTGAGGTTCACCCACCGCCCCCACCAGTGGATATCTAATTGTTTCAGCACCATTTGTAAAGACTGTCCTTTCTACAATGGATTATTTTGCCTTCTTTTAAAAAAAAGAATCTAATTTTTTTCTTCCATTCCACTAATATTTATGTCTTATCCCTATGCCAGTACGGCACTGACCATACCGTCTGCCTCGTTTATCTTGGTACCTGCAGTGCCTGAAGTTGTCCCTGACACTTTAGATGCTCAATGAATTGCTGACTGAGTGAATCTCTCTCCAAAGGCCTAAATTATTATTCCAATTCTGTAGACAACAAAACTGAAGAGGCGCTGGGGGTGCAGAGGGTTATAAATTTGCTCCGGACCATAGATGAGTTCACTGGGAAATAAAAGAGTTCTCTCAGTGCCGTCGACTTCTGCGCGCCCCCCTAGACTAGAGCGCCTTCCTGTGCCAGGAAGACCAACACAGCACTCCACCCGCAGGAATCGTGTGGCTGGGGGAGATAGCGCAGGCTGCAAGGGTATGACAGATAACCCTGCTATGGCTTTGTAAATGTTTTTCTTCACTTGGCCAAATGTGTGGTTTCCTTTTAAGAGGGAAGTTGTAAATGTAATCTGTTTAATACAGAATGGCTGTTAAGAGCACGGACTCAGGTTTTAGAGACTGGGCCAGGATCTAACCACCTTCACGGGGTGTGCTTTTTTGACCAGCTACTTACCAGGTATAGGACAATTAGAATGACTCATGGCCAAATGGAAATAAAGCATTTACACACTGCTTGGCTTGATAAACAAGAACTACTAACATAATGTATGAAGCTCCTTTATGGAAACTAGGCTTCTCAAGTTGATTTTCAGTTTATCCTTCAAATCGTATCATTTAAAAGACATACCTTGTTTTGGGTTTTATTGAATACATCATTGACTGTCATCCTACCATGAGAAATAATTACAAATGCTTTTCAGCACTGGGTCCTTTTGCAGAGACCCAAGTCTGAAAATGCATGAGCTGCCGTGCCTGGCAAATGCTACGGTGAGCACCTTGAGGGCAGTAGCTGGGGTCACTCATCTGCGACTCCCCGATACCTAGGCAGGACAGAGGCCCAACTGAATACCTTGGAAGAGAATGCAAGACAAGACAAAGTGGGAGACAGGCTCTAATAAACCTGTATAGTAAATACACTGTAGCATTTTCCCCCCTACAAATTAAGGCAAATGTAAGGCATGGAAGGACCAAACAGTTTAACATGCATAACTCAAGGGCTGTACTCAAACAAAGGCCAGCCACATTGGTGTCACACTGTCAAACATACATTGTACTAGCAAGAATAAAGGGAAGGGGATACTGCTTGATGTTCTAGTACATTTTAATAATGTCAGTAGGCTTTCGGCTAGAAACATAGTAACTGTTCTAAAGCTGCATCTAGTTCCCTTAGAGACCTTGAGATGCAGGAAGATTTTTTCACTTGAATGTAGACATTTCAGTTAGCAAACTCATTCCTCCCTCTCCTCCATTCCCTCTCATTCTTCCTCATTTTGAAAAGTTACTAAGATACAGAAAACATAATGTGTAATTTATAGGTTGTTTGTCTCAATGCATTTTTATTCTAAAACTCTGTGAACATATATTTATGAAAATCAAGCATTAAGTTAACACTAATAAATTAAGCATTTTTAGTAAGACTCCACTATATCTCACACCATACCCTTTCAGTTCATTTTTTTTAAAAAGTATTTATTATATGCTGGGCACCAGGGGTTTGGGGGGTGGGTTTGGAGGTCTACAAAGCTTAATCAGTCATAGGTTACGGCCACTTATAGTCTAGTAAGGAGGGAGAGATGATTTCAGTATGTTCTGCAGGTGGTATAAGCTTAGGGGTGGGTAGGTAGAAGGAGCAGTAGCGTGTCTGGGTGACACCTACCAAGTATCCATTCCCAGTTCCACCTTCCCTTTCTTGCGAACCCCACAGCTCAGAGAGGCCTTCTCATCGGCCCATGGCACTTGCAGCTGGTATCAAACTTCGGGCACTCTTGCCTGGCACATGAGAGTGCACTTGTCTCAGTTTTGTCTTGAGGAAACGTCTCAATTTCAAGGATAGCTTCTTGATTGAGAATTTTCTCAATACTT